TGAAATCACTGTTGGTCTTGGCATGGGGAAACGAAACAAATTTGTGCGGACATTTCTGCCTCGAGAATCTCGCGGGGGGGGCACGTCGTCGGTCGTAGCCATTATCGTCGTTGTGCCTCGAGCAGCTCGAACTGTCGAGCGGGCGCGCGCAGATCCGCGGGCGCGCGCGTTTGCCGTCAGACGCAGCATCTGCAGGCGCCGTGCTATGGCGCACCAGCAGACGCAGCGCCAGCAAACGCGCACCAGCGGACGCAGCACCAAGCAGCGCGATGAAGCGGCCAGCAGAGACCGCAGGACGGCCTGAAGACGATGGTGGAAGTGAAAAAGTGGGCCACGAAGTTCACCGACGCGGACGGCTGGACCGCCAAGCTTAACGGCCTGTCGTGCCAGGGACAGTCGCCAGCGCCAGAGGACACAGGGTCGGTCGAGGAGCGCTGGTGTTGGAAGCCGCCGCAGAAGGACAAGGACAAGGACAAGGACAAGGACAAGACGCAAGGCCGCAACAACAAGGACAAAAACAAAAACAAGACGCAGGGCCGCAACACGGACAACGACAATGACAAACACCAGAGCCGCAACAAGGGCCAGACGCAGGACCGCACCAAGCGCAAGACGCAGGGCGGCACCGAACGCAAGACGCAGGGCCGTTGAGGGCCGACGCAGGGCCGCAGCGCACGACGCGTGCATTTCGGCATCGCTCGGACGTGCGCGTTTTTCGTCGTCGTCGTCGCCGTCGTCGTCGCCGTCGGGAGGGGAGGAGAAAGAAACCCGCGCCCAAACGAAACATGGGCGAGGAATGAGCGATGGTGATACTGACATTCACCAAGTGGCACATCCGCTCGAGGCCCTTGACGCCATCGGCCTTCTTTCACTTGGCCTTCTTGACGAGGGGAATCGCTGCAGCGAGAAGCGGGGGCGCCGCTGGGAAGGATGGCCTCGCGAAGGCGAGGCGCTTTCTAGGGGGCGGCTCGAAAGGGTGGCCTCGCGGAGGCGAGGCGCTTGCTAGGGAAGGGCTCGAGCCTCGATGGCTTCGGGGGCGGGGGCCGATCCGAAGGTTGGCGCGAGGGCCCAGGGTGCCCCCCCGCCCCCGCCCCGCGCATATCATGACGATGTCATGGAACGAGGGCGAGGGGGGGGCGACGGAGATAAGGGCGCGGAATGCAGGGGCCGCTGGGGAGCGAGTCTGACGAGGCCGGCGGCGGTGCGAACTCGGAGCATTGCGACAACAGAACAACAACAAAAAAGCGGGCGCGCCGCTTGCGAGGCAAGGGGGCTGGGGGGGGGGCGCGTTCGCTCGAGGGGGGGCGGCGGCGCGAAGGCCGGGCGATGGGGGGGTGACGACACGCAGGTTCGACAACGTTTCCCGATTGCGCAATTGCACCGCGGTCCAGGGCGAAGTTGGGGAGCGCCGATGTGCAACAATCAAATGCACGCGAACCAGCGCGCAATGCTCTTGCGAGGCTGGCGGAGGTGCGCTGTCTATTGCTGAGGCTGCTGCTGCGTGTCGAGACGCGAGGCGGGTATGTCGAGGCTGCTACTCCGCTGCATGATGCTCTGCTGCGCGTCTAATGCTGTTTCGACGCACCAGGCCTGGGATGCGTGCTGCGGAAGTCTGGCAGCCAGCCATCTCGTTCCGCTTGAGCCTTCACTCTGTGCCATTGAACATTCGGATTGCTCGTGCCTCCCCGCTGCCCGCACCGCCCAGATGGGCGCTTTTTCCCAGAGCCGCGGCGCTGATTGTCATGGGCTGGCCTTATTCGTGTGCTGGTTATTGCTGGGCATGCTCTCGTCGGCGTCGGCGTCGGCGACGGCCGCCGGCGGCGGGCGTGCTCTCGTCGGCGACGGGCGCGGCATCGCCGGCGGCCAGCATGCTCGCGTCGGCGTCGAGGTTGCTCTCGTCGGCGACGGGCTTGCCCTTGTCGGCGTCGAGGTTCCTCTCGTTGGCGACGGGCTTGCCCGTGTCGGCGCGTCGATGTTGCTATGGTCGGCAACGGGCTTGCTTGCTCTGATCGTCGTCGAGGTCGCTCTGGTCGGTGACGGGCTTGCTCTCGTTCGCGTCAGGGTTGCTCTGGTCGGCGACGAGCTTGCCCTCGTTGGCGTCAGGGTTGCTCTGGTCGGCGACGGGATTGCTCTCGTCGCGCTCGGGCCCTCTATCGTCGAACCCATCCCGACTACTCCATGCAGGCGCGCTGACCTTCATCGGGCAGGACAGGTAGGATAGGCCGAACCAAGAGTCGCCAAACTTCATGACTCCTTCCAGGTCTTCCAGAGAACGAACTCTCGTCATGGCCGCGGCTGCGTCTGTCAGGTGGCCGCCGATGCGGTCGAAGTGGTGATGCTGGTCCGCGAGCCATGGGAACGCGGGGCCCGGGTAAATCTCCATCTCAGGGCACTGCCACCATGCGCGCAGCGCCCATGCCACCCAGTCTGGTACACCTTTTGGGGTGCCGCTGGCCTCGCACATGTTCGAGGCCGCGAGCCATGCGCTCTCGGCACTCATGCATGCTGGAATGCGACGCGGCCGCGGGAGACGAGGGGCCAGGGGGGAGCCGGCGAGGCAGATGGGGGCGCAGCTGGGGCGAGAATGGCGACGGGAAGGGCGCAGTTTTAATCGTGAACCGACGCCCTATGGGGCCTTCTGGGAGCAACGGCGGGCCTTCTCGGGGCACTCATGTCCCCCCCCCCCGCGAGGACCTGTCGGGGCCCGCGCGCCCACCCCTCCCACTGGCGCAGCCCGAATGCCCTGGAGGCTTCGAACGCGCTGCCGCGGGGCCCGCGGGAGGTGCCCGCGCCGCGCAACTTCGCATATCAACGCACATCATCGCATATCATAGCATGTCATATCTCGTAGCATCGCATAACGTTGCATTGCGTTGCATCGCATAGCATCGCGTAAGCAACGGAACGGTCAGAACGCGAAGTGCCGTTGGGGAGGAGGAGGAGGAGGAGGAGGAGGAGGAGGAGGAGGAGGAGGAGGAGGAGTGTAAAGCAGTTTATGCCATGCGCTGAGTCGAGAGAGCGGAAGTGCCGCTTGGTGAGCGTTCGCGACTGCGCCAGCGCCGCTCGAAGTGCCGCCGCGCGTACACTGCAGCAGCGTCGTGCTCGTCGTCGTCGTCGTCTCGCGAGCGCCCCTCCGCCGAGCGAGGAGTTCCAAGCCTGCGCGGCGGCGGCGATGAAACATATTGCGAACGGCTCATTGGACAGTCCGCCTGCCGTCGGCTCTCTTGATTCGTGGCTTCTCGAGGTTGTCTCAAGATGAAACGCTCGGGTTTCGCCGATTCGAGCAGCAAGCCAAGCTCGGGTGCCACTTGACGCGAAACTCAGCTGAGCCAAACCAAGCTCGGCAATTTTCTCATCGGCACCCAAATGGCAATCGTAATTACCTTTTTGTTCACACCTCTCGAACGCGGGGCCTTTGACGCAATACTTATTGACGCGGCCATCTCTGAGCCTCGTCGCGTCGCGCACTTCCACCTCGAGCTGCGGCCGCCTTGCAGACCCATGGAATGTTTCCAGGCCGCCGTCTCTGCACACATTGACGCCTGAATGGCCATGGTGAGCGCAGGTCCCGAAACGAAGGCGCCCGTCGGGCAACATTCCAATGCCGATCGGCTGTTGGGTCCACGCTATGAATGGCTTGATCAAGCTTCAACCTAGTGTTATGATACCCTACGCAGCGATCGCCTGGACCATGCAGCCCGCCATCGCAATGCCAACACTTGCCTCCATAGTGCATCGTCCTGCACTCAGGGCTGATGCGAAGAGGGATTCGTGCCCGCGCTGTCCCGTCGCTGCGCTGATGCCCCGTGGGAGGGCTCAGCTTGTTCCTCTCGATGCTGGCACGCCATGTGTCGCCTGCGAATGCGTGCAAAGCATTGTAGACCAAAGCCAGGCCCGGTGCACAGCCGCATCCGAGAGCACGCCAACGGCGGTTCTCGTCGACGATGTTCGTGATGAGGTACCTGCGCCAATAGCAAGTGCCACAGAAATGGGGTGTTGCGCCTGGTGCTGCGTCTGCTGATGCTGCGGCTGGTGCTGCGTCTCCTGGTGCTGCGTCTGCTGGTGCTGCGCCAGGTACAGCGTCTGCTGGTGCTGCGTCTGCTTCTGCTGGTGCTGCTGCTGCTGCTGCTGCGTCTGCTGGTGCTGCTGCGTCTGCTGGTGCTGCTGGTGCTGCGCCTGCTGGTGCTGCTGCGTCTCCTGGTGCTGCGTCTGCTGGTGCTGCGCATGGTGCGCACGGCTCCGCTGGCTCGACGTCTACCGCGGGCCGTGCCCAGCCTGCCATGGCCCCAATTCTTGGTGGCACACGGTACGTACCTGAATTAAGCGCGCGCTGAGCTTTGCAAAAGCGATGCGAGCCAAAACGGCTGGTGGAAACGACGGCGGCGATGGCGACGACGACGACGACGCTGCCGCAGGAAGCCCACACGAACGCATGGCATAGTATATAAAATTGAGTACAGTCTAGTACATCATAGTATGTCAAAGTGAGTGATTGGCCATCGGATTACTATCGCTTTATATGTTTTGGAAAAGCACGGCGGTATAACTTGTGGAACGTATAGAAGACATGTTTAGTTGAAAGGCCGTACAAGTTCCAGACGTCCTCCACGCCTGCACTTGATACACTACATGTGTTTGTTGTGCAAACACTCTTCTCAGTCATGTGAGCGACGCAGAAAAAAAAAACGGCTCCGTCTTCACCGACGTTGGCGCGCAAGTTGCCCGCGTAAAGACTCGCGTGAGCGCCCTCGTTTCCAATGCAGCGTGCCGTGCTGGCGGCCCACGTAAAGCGCGGCGTAATGTCGCCATGCCATCTCGTGTAAGTTCCCTTCCTTTTCGTCGCCCATGTGCCAGTCCGCTTCCTCGGGGCCTTGCCCCAGGCTCTCTCGTTCCGCGCGGGAAGACGTGGGCACGTCATCAGTGGTCCTACAAGCATGCGTACTTATGGATACATCTTTCCATACAGCTATCGCGAGTTCTGTGCACACGCATGTTGTACG